AACCCTAAACCCTAAACATTGAATCTCCGGCTTCGTTCTTTCGAGGTTAGAAGCCTGGTGGGCCTAGCGTCAGAGATTCAGGCCGACGGCGTGGAAGTCGGAGGTTTTCATGTTTACTGCAGGGGCCTTAATAACTAGAAATAGGGTTTTGGGGCAAATTATACTACAAACTATAGTAAGGACCCCCCCAAATATAGTAGAATAGGGTTTTGGGGGATATTATACTACAATTATAGTACGGACCCCCGAATATAGTATTGGCAATGAGTTCGGCCCCTATATTAGGGTTTCTTAGGGCCTATTAAGGGCATTGGCAGCTTCGGGATAATCTGGGTTGGGAATCTTGAGGGTAGTGTACCCTAAGGGTCTAAAGGATACAATAATTAGGTACTGCACCTGGGTTTCGGAGAGTAGGTCTGCAGGTTAGGATTTGCGAGAGTATATGATCACTAAGAAGCACTTGGACCCTTAGGGACAAGGTGCAAAAAAGGGTGTATGATCACTCATTGCTTGGACCCTTAAGGACAAAGTGCTAAGCCCGAAACTGAGATAGGTCAGAGGAAAAGGAGAAAGCTCTTAAAAAGAAAGCCTACAACATCTCATACAAGCCAATAAAGGAACCCTGCAAATCCCTCTACCACCACATAGAACCCCTTACAGGAACCCTAAAGCAAACCCTACAACACCCCATAAAATCTCATGGAACCCATTAAACGGAACTCCAGCCCCTAGACAGCGCCGTTTAATGTTTATCTTAACACCAAATAACCTACCTTTTTAAGAACCTACATAAAGAAGTCATAATAAGCACCCCTAACAATTAGGTTCTTCAGGGTCCAGGTGGGTAGTTCTCTAAAATAGGGTCCTTTTTGGGGGTCCTTGTTATAAGAGTGCCGCACTATATTGGGGATCCAAAAAGGGACCCTAATTTAGAGAACTACCTGATTATCCCCATGCCTTTAAGGTAAAGTATTAGGGATCCTGGCACTGATCCTCCGAAACTCATGTTCCAACTTGCCGGCTTCTACTATAGGTGCTTTAGGGTCCAGGTAGTGTTTCGGATCCAAGTTGCAAGAGCCCAAAGATGTCTAAAGTGCTGCCACTCCAGGAGGTCTGGTCCTTGCAAACAAGGGTTTACGCTTTCGGGGCTTGGGGGTTTAGGGCTTTTAGGGTCTAGGGTTTACGCTTTAGGGGCCGGGGGGGCTTTTAGGGTCTTCTAGGGTCTCGGGTTAAGGGTTTAGGGGCTCAGGGGTTTAGGGTTTAGAGTGCTATAGAGTGGGCTTAGCAGGAGGGTGTCACGAGGGATTCAGCCCCATGTTGCATGGTTGAGGGTTATAGGGTTTAGGGTGTAGGGTTTAGGGTGTAGGGCTGTAGGGTTTAGGAGTTTGCTGGGCTCTGAGGTGTTAGGATTGTTTTGACTTCCAACACGATCAGGGCCTGAGGCTTTCGTGTAGTTCTCTACATTAGGGCCCCCGTTTATTTAGGTCCCCAAAATGGTACATCACACTCATAAAAGAAGGATCCTGAGCGGGACCCTACTTTAGAGAACTACCCGTAAGCCTTGGGCTGTTTGCGTTCAGGCTTGCCAGGAGCTTATACTTTATGTACTTGCTGAGGATGTAAATATACGGCTTTCGAAGAGGCATCGTAGACCGCCAAACCCTAATATCAAGCAGTATACCGTATTGTCCAGTACCTAGGGGAACTAAAGGTGAGCCTTTGGGAATATATAGAGGCTCTACTCCCCCAACACGTTGAAGGTTATTCACTCTACTACTACGGTTGATGATATAAATCCTGCATTCGATAATTCCCATAGTCTAGAGTCTTTGAGGCCGTGCAGGATTTATATCATCAACAGTAGGCTACTCTGAAGCCATATTCGCCTCCGCACGGGCCGGAGCAGCGAGAGGTTTGCACGGGCCCGCCGTGCTACTCTCAATTCGCTCCCCACGACATCCCTCAAGTCTTGGTCTATCTATCTGCTTATTGACTTGCTTATCTATTTATCTATCTGTCTATCTATCTATCTATCTATCTACCTACCTATCTACCTATCTATCTAACTATCTAACCATCTGTATCTCACCATCCAGCTATCCGTCTATCTATCTATCCATCCATTTGTCTACATCTATCCATCTATCCATCGATCTATTTACCCATATCTATTTATATATCTTCCTATCTATCTATCTATCTATCTATCTGTCTGTCTATCCATATACATACATACAGATACATAGGTAGACAGTCATACGCACGCATCTTTGTGCTTCTACTTTTCCCCGAACCCTAAATCCAAAACACCCAATCACCCCAAACCCCACAGCATAGTAGCCTATGACCCCTAATTTACTGGGCTTTGAAGTAACCAGGGAGAAAAAAGTATAGACTTTTATTTCATAATGGCTCCTTTAAGGAACAGGTCCCCAAAAAAAGTATTAAAGTATGGTACTCCAAAGCCCAGTTTATAGGGTATCACCAGCAGTTTTGTGGAATCTCCAGGCTTTTACGCCCTCGCATTCCACCCATTGAGCAAGCCGTCTCGAAACCCGTTTATAAAGGAACCCTTATATAAATATAGTAGAAGCCCAAAAGTTGGAAACCCAATAGCCTCAATCCCTGAGAGTAATGTAAATGCACTATTTGTTCTTAATCCGGTTTCCAACTTTTTGGGGTTTACTCTAAGGGAATTCCCCAAACCACTTCCATCTGAGCTGGCCTCGTCCTCCTCAAAGGCCAAGTTCACGAATGAGGCCAAGTGATTCAGGAGCTCGTTGTAATCTTGGACCTTTGAAATGTTGGCGCTGATGGTCTAGGGCTGAGGGTGGCGTATCATTCAGAAGTTCGTTTTGCTCTTGGTCATCTTGTGATTGGGGTTGTAGGGAGGCGAAGAGCGCCTTCCGGAGGAGGCGGGATTTCGAAGAGCTTCTCCGTGACCAGAATCCTAAGGGTCCAAGTGCCTGATGGTCATATACTCTCCCGAATAGTAAGCTAGGTTGCTACTATCCGTAACCAAAGTACCCGATTATTGGGTCATTTGGACCCTTAGGGGAACCTCCTGCTTGCCACCGTGCGGTTTTTCTTCATGTCTTCACAGCCGCAACAGGCGGTGTATACGATTGGTAGTACTCTCAGTAAGTTTTGAGATCTCTAGATGGTGACCCTAAACCCAAACCCCTAAACCCTAAACCCCTAAACGGTGACCTTCGAACTGCAGCTTGTCTTTGCAGACTTCCCCAGTTAACCCTGAGGAGCGATGTTTGCCGGCGGCAGCGGGCTTCTTCAAACTTTTTTCAAAACGGTTTAGGGTTTAGGGTTTAAGGGGTTTGGGGTTTAGGGGTTTAGGGAAACCCGTTCGAGCTGGCATCGCCATGGATCACACATGCATGTCAAACACCGCTCGCATCTCTCACAACTCGGTTGGGGATTGGGGTTTGGGGCTGCCCATTGGCTCCATGCACCTGCCTAGCTTCGGGTTTAAAGGCAGTCTTGAACCTCCGAGCGATACATTCTACCATGTTAAAAGAAACTAGTCGAAGTTTGCTTCAATCTTGGACCCTATACAACGGCACTGTAGGGTTTAGGGTTCAAGGAGCTCGTAACCGTGGACCTTAGGATTTACGGTTGTAGGGTTTAGGGTTTCAGGAGTTCGTTGGATCGTGGGCTGCGGCGTGATTAGGATTGTAAGGTTTAGGGTTTAAGAAATAGAGACAATCCTAGACCCCGGAGTTGTCTAGGGATGTACGGCTTAAATCTTAGATGCTCGTTCTAGTATGGACCTGGGAGTGATTGGGTTTTAGGTGTTTTTGTAGTTGAAGTTTTGCAGGATGAAGTGCGGACACTTCGAGCGAATCCCGGGCGAAGCACCACAGGGAGGATAGCGAATCAAACCGAGGGTTTTTGGGTGATACTATACTGTAAACAGAATAAGGAGTCCCCAAAATACTATGGGTAATTAATTAGGTCCCTATATTAAGGCTTTAGGACTTGTGGGGCTTGCGCGTTTAGCAGTCGAAGCTTTGGGGCTCTTTGGGTTTAGGGTTTAGGGTTTCGGGTTTAGGTTTTTTGGGTTTATGGTTTAGGGTTTAGGGGAGTAGAGCTTCAGGCGCTGAATTCGGAACTAACGAATATGTAGGATGAGCATGTCTGTTTATGCAGGACATCTCAGCAAGCCACTGAGAGCGAAGAGAAAGGTTATTAGTTATTGGTCACAAATCCGTTCTGAGGCGGTTTCTGGCAGTCTGGAGTTAGTCAAGTCCCTGGCTGATGAAGCCGTCATGGAGACAATTAATATAGGGGCCTCAATATTTAATTAGAATAGTGTTTTGGTGTATATTGTACTTTACTTATAATAAGAAACTCCCCCAAATAGTACGTATTGGTATTTATTTAGGCGCTTATAATTTTACTGAACAAGCATGAAACGCTCCCACAAATCAGGCATCCCTTGCCAGGCATTTTGGTCCTGGGAAATCTGTTGACAACAGGCATTGGACGTGCAACATGAAGTTTCGGTAGGGGGCAAAATCCTGGTCCCTAAACCCTAAACCAAGTCAATCCTAGACCCTAAACCCTAAACCCTATCAATCCTAGGCCCTAAACCCTATCAATCCTAGACCCAAAACCCCAAGTGGATCCACCATGCACAACATCTACAGCTCAGGTGCCGTGTAGCGGGTCAGCCCCAGCGCCGATAGGGAGTCCTCAGACAGGCAGAGAACCACATAAAATAACACACGAAACCCTGAACCCTAAACCCCTACCCTAAACCCTAAACCCCTTATCCCTAAACCCTGAACCCTATAAACTATAAACCCTAAACCCCTGATCCCTGAACCCTAAACCCTAAACCCAAAGTCTTAGGGTTTAGGACTTTGCCTCTGAAGCCGGAGACGAAGGATAGGGCCAGAGCTTCCGGGAGTTGGAAAGGGCTGATGGGGTTTAGGGCTTAGTGTTTAGGGTTTGGGGTTTAGGGTGTGGGGTTTAGGGTTTAGGGTTTAGGTTGTGTTTTTTTCTGAGCCCCTTTTTCCACCCACAGCATCCAGGCCACAGCTAGAAGGGTTTAGGGTTTAGGGTTTTTTTTTCTGAGCCCCCTTTTTCCACCCACAGCATCCAGGCCACAGCTAGAAGGGTTTAGGGTTTAGGGTTTAGGTTTTTTTTTCTGAGCCCCCTTTTTCCACCCACAGCATCCAGGCCACAGCTAGAAGGGTTTAGGGTTTAGGGTTGAGGGTTGAGGGTTTAGGGTTTAGGGATGAAAGTTCAACCTTGGCCTGGACGGTTGAAGTCGCGAAGGTTTAGGAGTTGAGGGGCCTGAATACCTAGAACAGAGTTTATGGATGACAGTGCTAAAGTAGCAGTAGCAAACCTAAGGGATAGTGTTGGATAGCATTAGTAATTATCCAGACGCCTATATTGGTGTTGTGTCTCGTGAAGCTTAGACCATTAGATTTTGAAGGGCCCATAGTGTCGCTTCGTGAATAGTGCTCTCAAAATAACGAAGGTTGCGATTCGCCTTTGAGGTGGGGACGTCAATAGTTTGTAAAAATAGGTTGCTTTTTGAGAGGGGCTTGAAAGTATGATGGTCATAAGGAGCCCGAAGGAATAGTAATGCTGAGTATTTCGGATTCCGGCTTCGGTAGCAGATAACAGCAGCAGTCACGCGGATCATGAAGCCACAGCACATACTCTCTTGCTGCCGTCAATTAGGGCTCAAGCGTTCCTCCAACGCTAAAGAAACTCGGCAGTCGTTTGTCCGAAGACCTATCCAGCAACTCGTCTATGAAGCAGACAAAAGCCAAAGCCGCTCTTGGGCTTCCCATCAGAGAGACCCGCGAAAGTTGCCCTAAAACCTAAACAACAAACCTAAACCGAAAGCCCAAAATCCAAAACCACAAGAAACGAATCCTATAATAACCCTGTAGCGAATCTTATGAAGATCATCACTATGATCATTATCATGCACTATTCAACCTTACGACATCCTTTTCTAACCCAACAGCCATGGTTCATGGAGGGAACGTCCCGACACCAGGCGATTTTGGGAGACCGTCCCAATGCGTGCGCGGAGGCCTCCGCTGAGGGCTTCCTTAACCCTAAGGCTCTAAGGACTCATATTCTAAGGCTTTTGGGCCCAAAAACCATACTATAAAAGGCTTTTGGGCTAATTTGAGCCTTAGGGTAAGGATCAAACGACCCTTAAAAGTAGGGGGCCCTATACCCTTAAAATGTGAACCCCTATTGGTGTTTGAGCCTAAACCCTAAACCCTAAACCGTGGCTCTCCCGAAACCCGAAACCCTAAACCCCTAAACCGTTTAGGGATCGTTTCGTCCTCAAGGTTCTGGGCTTTTCTTAGGTGTTCGAGGTGAATGATTAAAGGGTAGGGTGTCTGCCCTTTTCGGGTTGGGGGTCTCGGGATTTAACGTCCCCTTTAGAGTGCAGGATCGGTTTAAGGGTACTCAAAGGATCATGGGACTTAGTAACTGGGGCTAGAATTAAGGTAACTATACTTATAATTACTTATAATCCCAATTAAGGTACTTATAACCCTACTTACTAAGTCCCATGATCCTCCAAGTACATCCTACACCCCGAAGCCCGAACGTAAAAGTCTGAATGTTAAATATTACCTAGAGTAAGCAAGGTACATTGAAGAGAAGGGAGCTCGGCCAAGTATGAAGTTAAGGGTTTAGGGCTAAGGGTTTAGGGCTGACGGGATGCTATGGGTCGAATCCTGATGTAATTACGGCTAAGTCAGCAGATTTGGCTAGAGCCGCCACCACGACGCATCGTCAGGTAACCTACAAAAACGCTCCCAGTGCAAACCGGATAAAGTCTGGCTTGGGCCTATTTGTTGAGAGCTTGGAACATCAGACAACCCTACAAGACCCTTACGAACCCCCTCCCTCCAAACAAAAAACAGGCATCAATGCTCGACAAAACCTGACAGGATCATTCGAAGTTTGTGTGGTTTAGGGTGTATTTAACACTTTGCCGGGGCCGGAATTTCCACAAAGTTCCCATAAGCGCAACCCAAGCTGCGATGACGCACCTGTCGTCGCTCCTCCTGCGACCATGTGGCAGAAACTATCTGGAGCGACGGGAGTTTGGGGTATAGGGACTGTTTTGGGTTTATTGGGCGGCCTTTAACGTTGTACACGGGGCTGGTGTAGCGCTGGCACGGGGCTTCACAGAAAGATGACAGGGTTTTCTACCGGTGATCGGTGAATCGGACAAAGCGAATCGATGAAAAATGGTTATCCTGATGACTCTTGGACATCTTTCATATTTGTAGAACAGCGCCAATGGGCCTTAAACACCATGCCGCACCCCAGTTTTTTCGAGATTTCGATTCGCTGGGCTGGGGTGTCCCGTGCCGGACCTCGGCGGCCTCCTTGTTCGTGCCTATGACAAGGCATGAATCCCACCGTGTTCTTAGTATGTCCAGTGGATATGTTTTGAGCACGATTTCCGCAGGATCCAAGACTGCGGGGCAGGGCATCCGGGCTGTGGGGGTGAGACAGGGATAAGTCGAGCAGAATCGGTGCCGAAGTTGAGGAAGTGGTTGGTTTCCTAGCATTTGTGTTTTTCTAACATTACGTGACGTTTTTTGTATGTTTTGGGTGGATTTGATGTTTTTTAGAATGTTGTTTGTATATTTTGGGGCGTAATTTAAGGAACAAGGTGACGGTGCATGATAGGTTGGTTGGGGGTTGAGGGGTTGAGTGGTTTAGGGGTTTAGGGTTTAGGGTTTAGGGTTTAGGGCGTAGGGCGATTATCAGGGCATACCATTTCGAATCCACCTCTATAGATCGGGATTCGGGTTCAAGGATTCGGGTTCAGGGTTTAAAGTAGAAGGGTTCCGGGGCCTACCCCAACACCCTGAACGCCTCAACCCCAAACCCGCAAACCTAGACCATAAACCCACAAACCCAAAGACCCCAAACCCTCGACCCTGAAGCCCAAAACGACAACCCACAACTCTAAAGCCCAAACGCCAAACCCTAGACCCTAAATCCCAAAACCCAAAACCCTAAACCCTAAACCCCAAAACCCTAAACCCCTCCCATGACAAGCTTCTCCTCGGTGAGTTCCTCCAGATCCGATTTCAAAATGGCCGAAGAATTGCCTGAGGGGCTTGTGGGGCCATTTTTGGGATACTTTGGGGCTCTAAACCCTAAACCCTTAAAGCCCCAAACCCTACTAAAGCCCCTAAACCCTCAACCCTAAACCCCTTTAAACCCTAGGCTTCGGGTGTAAGATCCAAGTTTCAGGAAGTGGAGTTGCACGGGGCTTGTGGCAAACGAGGGTTCAATTCGGGTGTTAGGGTTTTGGGTTTGGGGTTTAGGATTCAAGGTTTAGGGTTTAGGGTTAAGGGCTTAGGGCTTAATTAGGGCTTAGGGTTTAGGGTTTAGGGTTTAGGGCTTAGGGCTTAGCGCTTCGGGCTTAGCGTGTGAAGGCTTTTGCTGCCTTGCATCGAAAGTGAAAAGCTGCATCCCCGCGGCGCTGCGCGTGCTTGAGGCAAAAAGGACGCATAACCCAGAGGCTCCGTAAAGGCTACCATTATGGAATTATAGGGTTTAGGGTTTAGGGTTTAACATTTAGGATTTAGGGTTTAGGGCTTAGAGGCTCCATATATACTACCATTATGGAATTAGGTCCCTAAAGCCATAATAAGTATGGTTTTTTGGGACCTAATTCCATAGTGGTGGTCTATTTGGAGCCTCTGGGTAAAGCAGCTACTTAAAGTATAACCCTAAACCATAAAGGAGGCATAAAGCACCCTAAACCCTGAACCCTAAACCCTGAACCCTAAACCCTTTGAGTATAACCCTAAACCATATGACAACACCCCCTAAGCCCTAACCCCCCTAAATCCTTCAGCCTGAATTTTAAATCCCAGAACCTGGGTTCACGACAGAGTCTCTAGGGCTAGCTGGATTTAGGGGCTTAGGGTTTAGGGTTTAGGGTTTAGGGGCGAGGATGCCCCGTAGCCTAAGAACGAAAAGGGCTCTCGTTTGGGCATTGGATAGCTTTACAAAGCAGCGAAGACGACATGAAGGGAACACGGGCCCGCTTGATGACCAAGTTTTTACAGGAAATGGGTCTGCAGCTTAGGGTGTAGGGTAGAGGGTTTAGGGCTTAAGCTTAGAAGTGCTCAACAGACCCAAGCCGTGCTCACCGTGCGATTGAATGGCGGACTCACAAACAGATGCGACTGCAGTGAAAATTTGAATTACACTATAAGGGCCCACACTTGTGATAAGCGTCTTGCATTGAGTTTGCAGGATTGTGATGGTATTTGCAGTAACTATGTAGCATGGAGTCTTTCAGGGCCGAAACAATACCTAGTAGTTGGGTACACAGGTTCAGGATAGCAGAATGGGCTTTGGAAGCTTAGGGACAGGGCTCGGCGCGTTCGGGCTTTGAGTTCCTGGGCTAGGGTTTAGTATTTTAACTTGACATTGACGGTGAATGGTATATGAGGTTTTGCGAGAACAGGGGGGCCCTAATATAGCACCCTAAACAGTAGGATCCTCATTAGAAGGACCCCCTTATTTGCGGAAACTCCCATATGAGGCTTGTAGGTGCAGGGTTCACGGTTGCGGGTTGAGCGTGCATGGTTTAAGCTCTGCAGTCTTCGGGTGCGTTTTTGGCTTTAGGGTTTAGGGTGTTTTGGTTTAGGGTTTAGGGGTTTAGGGGTTTAGGGGTTAGGGGTTAGGAGCTATTAGGAGGGCCGTAGAAGAATGACAATACCACGCTGCAGCAGCCCGGACCCTGACATCAAACTTTCTGCCATCCTTCCAAGCTGTTTTGAACGACTCAGACCCGAAACCCTGAACCCTAAACCCTAAGCCAAAAACCCTAAACCCAAAGCCCCTAAGCCCTAAACCCTAAACCCGAAAGCCCCTAAACCCTAAACCAAAACACCCTGAACCCTAAACCCCGAAACCCTAAACCCTAAACCCCTAACCCTAAACCCTAAACCCTAACCCTAAACCCTAAACCCTAAACCCCGAAACCCTAAAGGGGTATTGGGTTCTCTGGGAACAAGCCGGTCCGCCATGGCTGATGGTGTCCGGCTCTTCCACGTCGACATCCACCTGGCGAAGTGGCGGTTTAGAGTTTAGGGATCCGGGCTTAGGGGTTTAGGGTTTAGGGTTTAGGGTTTAGGGGTTTGGGTTCAGGGACCCGGGTTTAGGGGTTTAGGTTTAGGGATTCGGGGTTTGGGGTTTGGGGTTTTTGGGTTTAGGGGTTTAGGGGTTTGGGGTTTAAAGCTTAGGACTCAGTAACCCGAAGCCCGAAGCCAGCCGAACCCCCGAGGTCCATGTACTTCTTTTCGGAGGGTAGGTCCGGCTTAGGTGCCAAAGAGGCCCTTTAAAGAAAAAAACAGGACCAGACGTATGAGGGTTGAGGATGGTTTAGGACTTAGGGTTTCGGATTCAGGGTTTACAGGTTTGGGGCAAAATCTTGCCTGGAGGATCGTGGGGTCATGTAAGTCAAGGCTCAAGCATGGAATCATCTCGGGTAACCGCAGCTATGCCAGAGGAAACTGCCTTAATGATTAGAACCGGGTACTAAACCCTAAAACCTAAACCCTGAAAACTAAGCCCTAAGCCCCCGAAACAATGAACCCCTAAAGCCCGAAGCCCTAAAGCTTTGTGTAGCTTAGGACCAAAATTATCCCTAAACCTTAAACCCCTAAAGCCCGAAACCCTAAAGCTTTGAAGTGCTTAGGACTGCTTGGGTACTCCGTAAACTGTGGCGTCGCCAAGCCACCAGCGACTCCGGAAAGGTGGGCGTCCGATCCTGAGACGAAATACTTCAGGGATGTTTGGGTGTCTACGATTCCTTTACCGGGCCCTTAAAGGGGACCTTGTAGATCCCTTTACAGGAACCCCTTTGTAGTGCTTTATAGATTCCTTAAGGGCTTGGGTTTAGGTGCTTGGGTCTAAGCTTCCTTTAATGGTTCCCTTTAAGGCATCTATACTGGTCGCGTATAGGGCTCCTGTAAACCCTAAACCCTAAACCCTGGGTTCCTTTAATGGGTTTAAGGTTTCGGGGTTTGGGTTTAGG